GAACTGCTTCTGTTTACAACAGTGAGCGCAAGCTAGATTCAAGTTATTATTACGTTTTGAATATGGATATTTTTCTTACAAAAGCGCATCGATTCGCTACAGGAGGACTTTGTTCACCCCCCGGAGCTGTGTGAGACACTATTTTTTATGGATGGGTGCTTTTTATCTTTTATTTTTAACTTCTTTTGGACTGATGCATGCAACACCCGCTGACTGCAATGATAGAGCTTGAAAGATCAAAGACAATTTTTAATATAACTCCGACTGGATTCGTCTGAAAGAAGAAAGTCATATACACCTAGAATGCCTCGGGGGTGAGTAAAACGCAGCCTAATTTTCATTTTTGGGTGAACTAACCCTTTAATAGCAACCCCTCAGCTTGTGAGTAGGTGCACCACAGTATTGTTTCTCATTTCCCAATTAAATAGGTGAATTTACATAAGATTTTTAAAGACAAAATTAAATAGAAATGTAAAATGCTCAAAATGAATTTTCGGAAAGCTGTTATTCTGTAGATACCGCTATGTATTTTTCTATATTATGTTGTAGAGATTGAAAGGTCATCTGGCACAGAGGATTTCAGTGTTGTCTATGTGTGTATGTCAGGCTCTGGATCTTTGAGAGCAAAGTTCGAGCTGTCTGATGGTCCATCCATCCCTGCCACCCTGGCTGTTCAGTTCTTCAGCGAGGGCAGCACTCTGTCTGGTGTAGATGTGGAACTGGTTGGCTCCGGTTACCGACTCTCCCTCAATAAGAAGAGATTTGCCACTGGTAAGAATGATTTTAGACTTCACCAGTTACACTATCAATAGAAGATTTAATGATTTAAGATCATAATGTTATTATAACAGCTTATCCTTCAATGCATTCTCAACATATGCATGAGCATGTAGTTTTGTCTTTGAAATGAGTTGACAGGAGATGCGTGTTTGTGAACATTCACAGGGCGCTATATGGCTGACTGCTGAGATCTGAGTAGAGGCCTGTCCGCTCTCAAATGCAGGGAACCTGGAGGTTCATTTCTGTTCATTCATTAATTCTGTCACTGCTTCTCAATGAAAGTTATGGAGGATCATTAGGGGGGATGGGAAAAGAGAGCTGTCTGCGTGAAGGCCTCTCATGCTTCTGTTTTCTCTCCACATTGTGAACGATCCAGTTCCAGTGAATCACCTTCTGGAGACTCGAGATTTTTATACTACAGTAACGTAGCACTGAGTATCAAACACTGTGTACAAAGAAAAAAGAAAAAAAAGAAAAGAAAAAAGAAGGAATGTCAGGATATTGGTGAATGAAATCATTAATCTTTGATACTTTTTGATCAATTCAGACTTTTATAAAGTCAGACTGTTAGTGTTTGTTATTTTGAAATGTATAGTTAACAATTTGCATTATGAATTAGAGGTGTATAAACATATAGCATATCTAAGCAAAAAAAAAAAAAAAGGACAAAAAACCTGCACTAACAATCTTTCTGGAAATTTGTTGAGCATTCATTTCTCCGTTTGAATTCACCCAAATGTCAGTCGCACTGACAATGAAGAGAGAAAAAGGAGCAGCGTTTTTCATTATGAATGTGCAATGAAGGTATAAGCTTTCAAAATTACATTTATGGATTGTTTTTAAAGTGTAGTGCCATTTTCACTTTAACATTGTCATTGACAGCAAAAGGAAACTTATACACTGACCTCAGTGCCTCTTTTTTATTTAAAATAATTATACAGGAAAATCTGCATGTTTAAGTCTAAAAAAAGATCCCTTGAAAAGATCCCATGTTTTCCCCTTTTTTGATTATGACCTTTTGTTTTTTTGAATTGCCAGTTCCGTTTTTCCTTTATGCTTCCTGATGGGATACTGAAGGGAAAACACTGCCTAAACATTTGCCTGCTTTGTCCTTCAAACCCCTTTAGAGTGCTTTACCTAAACAGTTGACTGCAAAGGAATGCACTGTTCCCGTTATAGATACCATCCAGGTGTTTTCTGTAATGCCTTATAGATGTGTGCAGAAATTATCCCAAAATAAGCATTGAAAATTTTCACTGTGAGAATATTCTAATTACAAACAGCGACCTGACTATTTGGAGGGATCCTTAATGATAAACAGACCAAAATATTTTGAATATTAGCATATTAAAATGAATTACAAGCATGCACACTTTTCAGTATAGTTTATTGACAGCAGACTACCAGTTTTTTAGATAAATGTGATTTTAAGGGACACTGTGTGTATATGTTTTTACCAAATGTGCCGTCACATCTGTTTTTTTGAGTGTTTTATGTTAATAATAATAATAATAGTAATAACCCGTTTCTTAAAATTATGGCTCAAATGATCTTATTGCTTTGAGCAAGTTTGCCAAATACAAATTGAAAAGCACAATGATGCAATGAGCTAATGGAAGTTACGGGAAAGATTAAATGCTTGCAGGGTCCCACCACCACGCAAGAGTCGTCTTCATTTAGTATTTATTTCTCCATTTTTTGCTGGAACCCAGTGGTGAGCATTTGCAGTGCTTTAAGGGGGTCTGTCCCCCATACAAGGGCTATGTGCCTTGTTCTCTTTAGAGGACCATGTCTCCAAGGGCTACCCCAATCCCAGCGATCGCCAACACCATTTTTACCTTAAAAAGAAAAACACTAATAAAACACTAAATGCCACAAATGAAGGATCTTCATGAATCTGGAAACAATGGCGTTCTTTAGAATTACGTCTTGTTTTCACCAGGAACTTGTTTTTGTCTCTTCAATAGCAGCCTAACAGTTTTGTGAAGTAACACCATAACGATTTTATATTCAGAATCATCACTGTCTTTATGTACTTTTTTAATACTTGTGATTTTGATTCATTTGTATTCAGTATGAAATGTGGTGTTGGTGTCAATACAGAGGCTGAAATCAACTGGAGAACATCCTGGTCAATGTAGCATTCAAATACAATACAATATTGGCTTTTATAGTCAAGTGCTTCTTTAAGTGAATATGAACTAATTGTGTAGTTAGCGAGCTGGTTCTTGCTGCCTCTACAGCCACGTCAATATTCAAAGTCATTTTGGAACATTTAAAGTCTCTTCTTTTATTTCTTTCGATGTCTACATTCAATGGCATGGTAAAACATTTATGTGATTTTTGTTGTTGTACCCATGTAATGTAAATTTTTACAAATGTTTCTGCCATGTTTATCTGCTTTTTGATGCTCTGTGTCAGTAATAAATGTGTAATATATAAATCTATACAAATATAAGAAATACTACAGAATGCTAACTTGTCTGTCTTCTTTTTTGTTTGCTTAGATCTATTCAGAAATTAAGGTGTGTTTCGTTCACTTCACCAAAATTTCAGCTCAATTTCCCACCAATAATACATCCTCTTTTCACGATTACAGTCAAGAAAATAAGTAGCTTAAGTCATTTTACAAAAAAAGTTAGTCTGTGGTGTTTGGAATTGATTGTCGGATTTTTTTCCTATATGCACTTATTTCACCAGCTAATATTGACGGTTTAAAAATCCCGCCATTTAACTCCAAATTGAAGTGACACTGAAATCTGAAGTGCACTGTCACAATGTGTACAGCATTTTCTTAAAAATAACATGCGCGCACAGTTTACACACTGACTTCTGGAAGACACTGTTATTTATATGTGTTTACTACTCGGACTCGAGTCCGGTCTCGAGTACAACATTTAGCGGACTTGGACTCGAGCCTTGGGATTCGAAAAATATTTCCGAGTCCAGTGACAGTTGACGGAAATGTCACTGGCACGATGCATTGTCTCGAAAGTGTCATTCATTGGGCTATTTGCATGTCTTGCCAGTACTTGAAAGCTGACGGGTTTCTGTGCGCACTCACCCAAAGCGCGCCTCTCAGTCAGTCAACGTGTGAATGCCGAAATAAGTTGTCTTCGCGTGTTATTGCTACACACTCAAATACACTAAAAGTTGTGTATAATGCCCGTCTTGGAGAGTATGTAAATGCAGTCGGTTATGTCTTCAGTGAACCTGAACAGTTGGGAGAAATACGGACGTGTCAGAATATTTGATCCGTGTGTCGGGTCTTAAAGCGACAGTAAACCTGTTGCCGCCGACTGTAATGATCTGCTAATGTTAAACAACAAAAGAAAAAGAGAAAATCACTCACTGCTCTTATCTGAATCACTATAGTAACTTTAATAAGAATCTTTTTTTTATTTAATGTATACAGTGAAGATTGTGCAGTTTTTGTTGTTGTTGTTTTTTTACATCTTTAAATTTCTGTAGTAGCCTAGGCTAAAGACCTATCTGAATTTTTTTTCAAAAACTATTTTCATTTGTATTTTTGATTAATCTATTTATTTATTCCTTTGCTTCTAATTAATAGACTGTTTAATTGTCTTCAGTAGGCTTGAGAACATTTTACTGACATTAGTCTAATATTAGTTTTTGCTGTTGTATTGAAATTGTCGGTTTTTTTAAACATGGTGGCAGCTTCAAAGGAAAAGAATGTTTCTAACATCGTTGCAGCAGTAGTTTTTATGGGTCAAAACCCACCTTGGTTGTGCATTATTTTCCAATAATTCAACGGCTCATCATCAATTAATACAATTTCTTAACATGCATTCAAAAATAAAACAGTTGTGAGTTGGCTGTGATTTATGGAAAATACATGTAGTGTTTTTATACACATTGTAAAGACTAGGTTTATCCCTCACATGAAAAAATCAATTTAAAAAAAATTTAAATGCCGTCTTGTCGCCTTTGCAAATAATTTGAATTTTGTATCAGTACGACATAGATAGAACGAGGCAGCAGTTTACTGTGGGGAATTTGTTGTGTTTCGCCGCGCTGCATCCAGTGTAGACAGCATCACTGATTTAGACAGCACCACTGATTATAATGGGTTCTATAGTGTTTTGTCGTGCCGCGCCGCGCGCATCCAGTGTAGACAGCATCACTGATTATAATGGGTTCTATAGTATTTTGTCACTTCAGCTATTCAATCTTGTTTCGATGTATTTGATCTTGATTTCTAGTATGGAAAAGGTATGGATAGATTTAACGATAAAGCAATTCAACATTCAGATGTTTACACAGTCATGCTTCTGAACACATCTGGTGCACTTCCAGTGCTCCTTGCAAAGTGAAATAAAACTTAGCCACATGTGCTAGCCATCCGGTTTTCTTACGCACATCGTGTGTGTCTTTTATGTGTTTATGTATGTGTCAGGGTTGTAGACCCCTTCATGAACCCTTTCAAAAAAAAAAGACCTCTGTGTGCTTCACAGTTTGATCTACATCAGACCTACTTAATCCTGATAGCACTCGTTGATCTGAATTGAATACTGTTTAGACACCTTTATACAAGTTATTTTCGGTCCTCTAATTTCTTCATTGTTTGTATCACACCATTTGTTCAAGACAGATTTTCAGTGAATGTTTCTGCAGGCTACATCGTTATGCCAGTAGTTGGTGGAAGTGACTCTTTATGAGTGAGTCATGGAATTATTCAGTCAACTGATTCCTTCAAAACACTGATTTATTCAGGAATTAATCAAAGATGCATCCCAATTTGCATACTTATGCAGCATTCTATGCCATTTGTAGTGGGAGTATTGTGCTCACCCTGAAAACTATAAAGACAAAGTGCACTTCAGCTACCCTGATGATGTACTTAATCAACTGAGGGAAGAAAAAAAAACTAATTGTGGAATGTTGGACACTTAATTTAGGCCTACTCAACTATCACAGCTTTCCTTACTTAGCGGAAGGCTATCAGACTTAGAATTTGGTTGACAAAATAACAAAAACATACACTAAAAAATTATACACTAGATAGTGTAGGCCCTAAGTGCAGAGTGTGTAGTATGTCATATGCGTTACGATCACCAGCTGGAGTGCCAATGCACGAGCTCCTTCATTGGGCACTCCACCCCAGACTGTTGTCACTCCCTCACTAACTACATTCCCCATAATCCTTAGCCTGGACTCATCATCACTTATAGCATTCACAAGATGGAGGTCTTGTTACCTCCATCAGTTTCACCCTATTTAAAGCCTGGTTTTTCACTCATTCATTGCTCAGTATTGTCTAGCCCAGTGGTCACCAACCTTTTTAGGCCCAAGATCCCTGACCTCGGCCTTTATGAAAGACAAGATCTACCTATTGAAGAATTGATAGAAAAAGACATCCCAGATTGTACTTCAAATTTGAGGCCTTTTACTTAGTATTTTAATTAGTGATGACGCGCTCATAGCTGATTCAGAATTCAGATTTTCTTTTATGTCTTTCTTTCTTTTTTTTTTTACTAGCAAATTGGATTCTGATACTGATTTTTAAGCAAATTTATTTATTGGCTATTTGCTTTATAACAAACAAACTGGCTTTAAACAAAAATATCTAGCCATTTGAAATTAGAGGCAACCACTGCATTTTAATCATGATCTGCACGGGCAGTTGTTTTTGATTTGATTTA